TGCAGACCCGTATATGGGAGAGACCAGTGCAGACCCGTATAGATCCATAGGAGAGACCAGTGCAGACCCGTATAGATCCATGGGAGAGACCAGTGCAGACCCGTATAGATCCATAGGAGAGACCAGTGCAGACCCGTATAGATCCATAGGAGAGACCAGTGCAGACCAGTATAGATCCATGGGAGAGACCAGTGCAGACCCGTCTAGATCCATAGGAGAGACCAGTGCAGACCCGTATAGATCCATGGGAGAGACCAGTGCAGACCCGTATAGATCCATGGGAGAGACCAGTGCAGACCCGTCTAGATCCATGGGAGAGACCAGTGCAGACCCGTCTAGATCCATGGGAGAGACCAGTGCAGACCCGTATAGATCCATAGGAGAGACCAGCGCAGAGACTCAGCGCGGACCCAGTAACCTCCTGCAGCAGCAGTATATATGCCGTTGTTCTGTGGCCCGTGGATAAAGAAATGCCCCCTATAAATAGGAAGGGGTCACTAATACACGGCAAGATTTCCAATGTATTTGATAAAGCGTTGGCACATTTCATTTCAAAATGAATTAAAAAGTAGGCCAGATCTGCAGTGAAAAAGGCGGTATATAAATAAAGATTACTACAAATAAATAAATACATACATCGATATGACGGACATATCACTGGAATGTTGTATTTTTATTCAACTTCACCAAAGAGGACAACCCCGGCGTGTGAACATGTCGGCACTGAATGCGTACGAGTGCTCCTGAGGACTCGTAGGATTTGTACTTGCCCAAGACAAATTCTGGTTACGAGAAATATTCGTGAATGCCACTTTCTTCGTAAAAACCGCGTAAGTAGGATTTACGTACAAATCTGTTCCTAAGAACCGTTCGTGAATGAGGCCCAATGTTTTTGTTACTGGCCAGCTCCTTTAAGGCTTCTATCTCTTCCTGAGTGAGGTTCTGTTTAACTGTTTTTATTCTGTGATTTTTCTTTAGTTCTTTCTGATCTGCTCTGATTAAGAAAGGCATTTCTGGAGGGAGGAGTTCCTGTGGGGGGGACCACTCTGAGGTCCCTCTGAAAGGCCTGGACTGGGACGTGTCTCCACTGTTTTTGAAGTAAAGTAAAAGTTTTAGTCTCCTGTGATAATTTTGAAGGTCCAATTGTAATTGTTCTCTCTGGTTCTTTTCCAGGTCCAATGTGGGAATAAAGCTGAGCCCTCTTCCTAGTAGGCGGAGCTGAACTTCTGAGGGCTGAAAGGTCTTGGACAGAACAATAACATTCTGGGTTTCCTTTTTAGTTTCTGGCCCCCCTGTTCTTAAGCTTGTGGGGTTCTGGAGTTTAAAAAGGAGACCCAGTGATTGAACATTGCCCCGGCCGTGGGTTTGGTCCAATGAATGCTGTCCGTTCTTGTGGCAAAGGTAGGTGTGGGCAGAGCTGGGACACAGTGCTCTCTCCCCTCAATCTGCTCATTCAGGTGTCGTAATGTTTCCTGTTGTTTGTGTGGCAGGTTCTTGGAGAAGTTTATTGAGGGAACCCAGACCTCTGCAAAGGGGAAACGCGCCTTAGCTGCACGGAGAGCTGCCTGCATTTGTTTAACCGCAGTCTCTCTGCCCCTCTGTTCCCTGTGATTTATCCCAAAGGATAACAGTATTTTCTCCACCCTGGTGTACTGGATAGCACCTGTCAGGAGGGATGCTGCGTGAGCAAAGTTTCCCCCAGGGAAGCAGTCTATTTGCAGGTCTGCGATGGAGTGAGGGGGAAGGCCCCTGATATTAGAGTCCCCAATAATGGCCCATTTTTTATCAAAACTCAGGGCCCAGTCTGCCATTTTATTTTTAGGGTTAGGTAAATGTATGGGGTCCCTCCTCCAACTTGTGGAGTCGGGAAGTGTACGGGCCTTATTTCTCCATCCGTGCTGGGCGGTGTGGTTGGAGTTCCAGGTGTAGTATAGGTGGTAGGTGGGCTCTCTCCAGTGACTCACTCTCTCTCGCAGGCCCAGGGGGGGACTGCGGCTGTGGGCTCTATGGTCCCCTGTGGACCATTGCAGGCGTATGGTGAGTATCGTATGGGTCTGAGTGTTGGAGTCCAGTTATACTCTGGCATTTTTTTGTTTTGTTTTTTAAGATTTTAATTCAAAAGAAATTAAAAGGGTTAAAATTCAGATTGTCTCCTTTATGAGGGAGACAAATGAGAGACCTTTAAGGTCTAAGTGGAGTATAAAAATTGCGCAGGTTAAAAGGTGCTATATTGAAGGATAAACACACGACGTTTCGACCGTTATGGGTCTTCATCAGGTGTATATTTAAAAAGGAACCGGTATAGCACAGTTTTAAAAGAGGGTGTTTGAGGTGTGCTCTGTCTGAGGAGCTGTACAGACTGAATCAGAGGTGAGGGGGGAATGGCCTTACATACTCTGTTTCTCTGACAGGATTGGTCGGTGCGGGTGATTGGTCTGTTCTCCAGCTGTGTGGGTGAAACACACCTGTGGGCTGTCATGGAGCAGCTGATTGAGGACAGGAAGTGTTGTTGTAGATGTAATGGTGGACCAGAAATGTGAATAAATGGCGGTGGATGTGGGTTATATTTTAGGAGGGGTCAGGGTGGGTTTTGTCCCTAAAACCACTCGGTTAAGGTTGGGGTTAGGTCAGGAGTCAGGGTAGATGATAATTAATATTAATAATAATAATAATAAATGGGTTAAATTTAGGTCAGAGGTCAGGGTGGATGATAATTAATATGATATGGGTTAAGTTTAGGTGGTTGGATAAATGGGTTATGTTTAGGGTAAGGGGTCAGGATAGGGTTGGATTAGTGAGTGTAGGTCCAGGTAAGTATTGTTGGTTAATTTTTGATTAATTTTGCAGGTCGTTTCCCAGTAATTCCAGGTAAGTGGGTTAAGGTGGTCCAGGGTTAAGTCCTTGAAAAAATGGGTTAAGTTTAGGTCAGGGGTTGGGGTAGATGATAATTGACCATAATAGGTGGGTTAAGTTTAGGTCAGGGGTTGGGGTAGATGATGAATAATGATAAATGGGTTAGGTGTAGGTCAGGGGTGAGGGTAGATGATAATTAATAATATTAAAAATAATAATGAATGGGTTAGGATTAGGTCAGCGGTCCGGGTAGATGATAAATAATAAATGGGTTAAGTTTAGGTCAGGGGTCAGGGTGGATGATAATTAATATGATATGGGTTAAGTTTAGGTGGTTGGATAAATGGGTTAAGTTTAGGTCAGGGGTCAGGATAGGGTTAGATAAGTGAGTGTAGGTCCAGGTAAGTATTGTGTTTAATGATTTTTACAGGTGAGTTCTGGGTGATGTGTGATTTAATTGTGGGTGGGAGGGGCCTTTGGGTGAATTACTGGAAGGGGTCCAAGTTCAGCTCGTGGACCCAATGTTGTAACATTGTTTTAGCTGTTATTTCTGTCCAGTGTATATTGTCCGTCCTGGTTACAAATTCTTCTTTTGGCAGTTCTTTGATGTAGGGCATATTTTTCTCCAAGTGATGGTTAAGAAGTTTTATCACACCTCTCTCCTTTGGGGGGAGCTCTCTTGAGGTCTGGATCAGAGGCACTCTGATGTTGGCATTTGGAAATGTCTTTTTGGCTTCCCTGATCAGGCTAGGGTTAGGGTTAGGAATTTCCCATTGACTTTGCATTGAAATCGCTCACTTCCAGATTTTGCTTCCGGATTTTCATCTCTTAAACAGAAATCTGGAAGTTGAACTTCCAGATTCTGCTTCCAACTTCCAGATTCTACTTCCAACTTTTGATGTCCACCAGGGGACCCTTGATTTTTGCAAGTTGGAAGTACATTCCGGAAGTGAAATCTGGAAGTATAAGGGAGCTTCCACCTTTATATCTTAGTCAATACTACCGCTAAAGATGCTAACAATGCTAATGTCCCTGCTAATGCTACTACTACTACTACTACTATTACTGCTACTGATGCTACTACTACTACTATTGGTCTACTGGTGATGCTAATGCTAATGGTGATGCCAATGCTAACGTTAATTGTTATGTTAAAGCTAATGTTAATGGTGATGTCAATGGTGATGCTAATGCTAATGCTAACTTAATGGGTTTTTGGGTCTCCTGCCAACCCAAACCAGTGGTAGGAGTGGCACTGCTCTACCACTACTACTTTTTTTCACAACACTTTAGAGAGACGCCAGTCACACAGCGGTCTCTCTGACACCAGCTGGACACGCTCAATGAAGGGCAAGTTCTTATTCCCAAGTTTTGCGCAAAGTTAGAGCTAGAGCTCTACAATTTGGACAGGTCATAGCCTGTGTCGGTGCGATACCTGGGAAAATGCTAATAACTTTGTATCTTTTTAAACTGCCCTACAATCGGTGAATGAATTTTGAATTTTGGCTGACCTTGCTGCAGCTCATATATGTGACTCGTCACATGAAGGGCTTTCCAACGATACCTCTATCATCGCTCTACGACCTCGTTTGGCCGAGTTATAACACTTAACGAGGTGAGCGGTTTCAAACGGTTGTCGCCCCCTAGCTCCGCGGTGGAACATGGCAGGGACAAAAGCCGTACACCGTTGCGTTCGGCTGGCCGAGCCGGTTCCGTAGAGGTCTGATTTGTGCCTGTGCAACCTTCGGAACAGGTTTTGGCCTTTGATCGCCTAGCTTTTCAGGGTAGGGCAAGGATCTACGGTCCTGAGACAGTCTTGAGCTTCTGGTCCAGAAATGGTCACTCGGACTTCCGAAGGGGTTAGACGCCTAAATTTTGGATATGTGGTAGTGGGCCACGAGACATAACCCTAACCCATAACATAAAGGAGGCAATCTGAAGTTTTAACCCTTTTAAACACTTTTAATAAAGTCTTTTATAAAAATACAAAAAACAAAAAATACAACAAAAAATGCCAGAATACACCTGGACTCCCTACTCACCATACACCCGCAGCAGTCCACAGTGGACCCACTCCCAACGGGATTGGCCCACGTACGGTCGGAGGGGCCACAGTCTGCGGGAGGTCAATAGCCATCAGGACGAGTATGGGAGAGAGAGGAGAAGGGGTTCCCCATGGGAACGCGGCCCCCGTAGACGGCCCAATGAGTGGACTAGAGTCCCAGAGAGAGAGAGGGGACGTCCACATCATTACAGACGTACACACACCCATAGTCACCGGGAAGAGCCCACTCCCCCTCACCACTATACCTGGAGCGCCAGCTACACCGCCCAACCCGGACGGAGAGATAGGGCCCGTACACCTCCCGTCTCCACACGTTGGAGACGGGAACACATACACAAACCTAACCCTAACGCCCCTTTCTGCTCAGTTATTCAGCGGAGTTGAAAGAGGCGTTTTTATGACTTTTCGCGGTTCAAGATGGAGGTGAGTGGTCACGTGCGTTTATTACACCGTCTTAGTTGTGTAACAATCAAAATATCTTTGTAAACATTCATAAATACAATGCTGAGTGGATATCGGGGCTGTGCACACGGAGAACACACGGCGGCTCTCCCTGTTCGAGCTCCGTAACGTTTTCAGGAGGCCTTGCAGGTGCTACACGGACACGGAGATGCTCCTCGGATGCTAGCACCTTCAAGGCCTGGCCCACGGAGATTCACGTTTTTTGCTCTCGGGGTGCAGCAACGTCATTATTTATAATAATAATAATTATTATCATTTTCTCTTTATTGTGTAACAGGATGGAAAACTGTGCGGCATTTGCTTCACGCAAGCAGTAAATATCAAACAGCACCTGCTGCGAATTCACAAGGTGGCCAACTTGGAGGAGCTACACCTCCTCCAAAAATATGGTAGTGCACGGTGAATTAATGCACGCACACACACACACACACACACACACACAGTAATAGATCCATGAGCCCAGCGCGGAGCTGTGTAAGATAGAGACCAGGTGTTGATTTATTTTCATTCTCCTAGGACCACGGCTGTCCTTGACTGTCCGTGCTGCGTGAAGAAGGGTGTGGTCCGCTTAGATAAGCATCTGCAGGACCAACACCAAAAGACCTCCTCCGATGTAAATTGCTTTTATCAAATCCATATGTTTCAATATGTGTCCAAACAATATGTTTTGGTTCGTAGGAGCGTGCTGCCCTCCTGCGAAAGGCAAAGCGCCTCGCCATCATCAAGGAGCTGAGGGACCTGAGGCTCTCAGACCCCTCAGTGCCCCTGGTATCGGAACTGGACCTTGGTAAGAACCAAAACAGTACTTTTAACTGTTGTTGGATATCTGGAAATATATAAATAATTTATAAATTGATAACACCTATGTTAATTCATGGATAATATTTGTAATGAAAAAACTTTTTTTTATATATTTACATTATTGAATCAGATCAACCCAACGACAACCCGCTGATGGAGATGGATGAGGCTGGTGAGTGTTTATTGCTTTTGATACTACTACTACTACTACTACTACTATTACTACTGAGTAATGGAAATTCATATATGCATATTGAATCAGATCCTGAGGCCCTGGTGGGAGGTGAGGGGATGGAGGAGGAGGAGGATCAGGCCATCGCCGGCCCTTCTGTCTCTGGTGAGTATTTATTGCACTTATTACTAGTACTACTACTATTTCACCTTGGAGAGACCCAAGAGGGAAAATGCAGTTAGAAGTTTATTAGATTAAGCATGTTTGGCGCCCTAGGCCCGGGAGAGATGCTGTTGAGCGCGGCGCTTGCTCGCGCGCATAATCCCCCCCGGGGCCTAGGCACTGGTGGCGGCAGAGGCAGTAGGCAAGCACGCTTCGATGAGAAAAGGAGGAGGTGGGGCGGCGGAGGCTTGCAGACTTCAGAAGGCCGGGAAGTGGGCGTCTCCGGCTTTTAACTTGCTGTCCTGGTGGTTATTGGTTGATTGGATGTGGGCGTTGCTGGTATGATGAGCCGAGGATGAGCAGCTTGTAGATCTGGGCGGCAGCGGCCGGGTCTACCACAGTGAACTTTCGCGAAAGCTCCATTACTACTGTGTTAACAATGTCATTGTGTACATGTAATTTGTGAATCATAGTTTATTTTTTTCAAAAACCTACATATGTTATGGCATAGATAAACTTTGGAATAAATTAACTATAATTTCATATATACATTATTCCTCCCATATTGAATCAGATCCTGAGCCCCTGGTGGGAGGTGAGGGGATGGAGGAGGAGGAGGATCAGGCCATCGCCGGCCCTTCTCTCTCTGGTGAGTATTTATTGCTCTTGATAGTTCCTACTCCTCATACTGTCCTCATAAGAAGACAGGTAAAGCTTTTCTTCTGTTGTGATTCAGGGCTATACAAGAATAAATTGTATTGTATTGTTTTGTACCACTGCTACTAGTGCTATTACTACTATTACTACTACTACTACTACTATTACTACTGAGTAACACCTAACAATGTTATTGCGTAGGGTTATTGAAATGTTGAATCATGGAGTACATTATTTGTAATAAAGGGACTTCATACCACATGGACCAGGAGAGACCGGGTCCATCACCTGTCAACTATGAGGTCCGCCTCCAGAGGCTGGAGGCCCGTCTTGACAGTCTAGAGCGGTCCCACGCTCTCCTCCAAAAGAAGTGCCGGTCCCTCCAGGTTGCCCCGGCTCCCGTGCCCCCCACCTCTGCACAGAAGGGGGAGCACGTGGACAAGCTTCACAACGCTGACTTCCTGTATGGTAAGTTGGTTACTAATGGTTCTGGACCATGGAGGGAAATATTCAAATATTCTCATCCTTTTTTCTAAAAGTCAATTTGATTTTATTGCAGAATCCCTCGTGGAGGATTACAGACAGTTCAGGCTCGGGGCGCGGACCAGGCCCAAGGACGTGGATAATGCCAAGCAGTCAGCCAGCCACTCCCTGAGGTTCTGCCGGTACATGGCCCAGGGAGTGGCGGCTGACTGCCTGACCGGGAGCCTCCGGTTCATGAACCGACTGGACCACCTGGCCGGGTACCTGGCCCAAAAGGGCTATAAAAGCACCACGATAAAAAACATGATTACTAATATAATCATGTTTTTACGCCATGTGGGCAAGCGCTTCCCGCGCAAGACCCGCCTGAGGCCCGCTGAAGCCACAAACATTGAATACGAGCTTCAGCGGATCCAGCGGGACATTCAGCGGGAAGTGCTTGTCCACAGGCAGAAGGTCCTGAAGAAGTCAGGTAAGGCTTTTCCTGTCTTATATGGGTAACACCACTGCTACTAGTGCTACTACTACTACTACTACTACTGCTGGTGATGCTACTACTACTGCTACTACTGATAACACTTATACTACTACTACTACTACTACTACTGCTGGTGATGCTACTACTACTGCTACTACTGATAACACTTATACTACTACTACTACTACTACTAGTACTAAATTATTGACCAGTCCGAAATGGTGAAATGTCACAACAGGTCCAAATAGGGATGTGGTTTTCACTAGTGTTACGCCAGTTCCATTCTTTTCACAGCCGACCAGCTGAACGCCACCGACAGCATCACGTTTTTGGCAAGGGCCAAAACAGCCATTGGCGAAATTCTCTGTAAGTAGAGTACATTTGTGATTGTTTTTCATTTTCATTCCAAGAAGTTGTTGCTTCCCCTTAATACCTCGTGTTGTTGGGGTGTAGGCCGAGAGGATCCCGATGAAATCCATGGCCTGGGGATGGGGTATATTCTGGCTTACCTGGCCATCGTGACAGGCCACCGGGCGGTGGTCTTCAACAACATAATGCCGACTCCTGGAAGTCAGGAACCCGCTTCCAAGTGTTGGTCAGTCATATTATGTACCATTCAGAAAGTAATTAGAAAGGTTGTTAATTATATTAGCGAGTTGTGGTTTCTTATCAGGTCCTCATAAACAGACTTGTGCTCATACACAACTTATACTCACACACTGGTCCTCATAAACACAGGTCCTCACAAGCAATGGGCCTCAAACACAACTTCCAGATGTTCATCTATGACTGTGTTAAGGTCCTCATAAACACAGGTCCTCATAAACAGACTTGTGCTCATACACACACTTGTACTCACACACTGGTCCTCATAAACACAGGTCCTCACAAGCAATGGGCCTCAAACACAACTTCCAGATTTTCATCTATGACTTGCTTCCAACTTCCAGATGTTCATCTATGACTGTGTTAAGGTCCTCATAAACACAGGTCCTCATAAACAGACTTGTGCTCATACACACACTTGTACTCACACACTGGTCCTCATAAACACAGGTCCTCACAAGCAATGGGCCTCAAACACAACTTCCAGATTTTCATCTATGACTTGCTTCCAACTTCCAGATGTTCATCTATGACTGTGTTAAGGTCCTCATAAACACAGGTCCTCATAAACACTCTTGTACTCACACACAGGTCTCCCTTTTGGCCGAAATTGCCTCTAGAGATCTAAAATTTTGGCAGATTGTAGCCTTGGTCGGTGCAATACCGGGAAAAACAGGGGCGAGTTCTATTTCCCACGCTTGGTTTCTTATCCATCAACAGATTTTTGTTTTGTTTTCCCCCAAGGTGGACGACCACAAGACGACAAAAACCTTTGGGCAGGCCTCCATTCTCCTGGATCGCCAGGAGTATAACTGGCTCCGCCTCCTGGCCACCGGGGCCTTCTGTCAGGAGGAGTGCAGCGGGGCGGATGCCATATTCCATAATAGATCTGGAGCCCCGATCAAACAGGGCTCAGAATTGATAAACAGGGCGTGGGCAGCGGCTGGACTGAAGGGATCCATAACGTTCAATAAGATCCGGAGCAGCGTGGCCACACAGGTAACATCTTGATTCATGCGTGAAATTGACTGCAGAGTTGAATTGTGTTTTTTGATGTTTATTCATGTTTTCTGTTTGTAAGGCCAATGAGCAGCTCACAGAAAAGGAGCGGCGGAGGGTGGCCAGGGCCATGTGCCATGACCCTGCCACGGCCTCCAAATTCTATGTTGTCCTCCCCAACGGGGAGAGGCAATACCAGGACAGGCTCCTCAGAATGAAGGCCCTCTGTCTGGCCTCCAACACCAGGCCAGACAGGCACACCAGGCCAGCCGTGTCCAGCAGCTCAGAGTCAGAGGGACCTGAGCCGGTGTACCAGGACTCGCCCGACTCCTCTGGCTCTGAGCTTGCCAGCCCTGAGCCAGCCCCCTCCAGCCCAGCGGACGACCCCTCCAGTCCTGAGCCAGACCGCTAGGGTTAGGGTTATACAAAGTCACTGTCCCCCGAAGGGTACAGTAAAATGCACGGGCCCTCTCCCCGACTCTGGACCAAGAGGATGTTCCTGGACACTGGCAACCACCATGATGGCCGCCATCTTGTGTCCAGGGGGTTCAAAAAATTGCTCTATAGTAGAGTGTATGTGTAGAAAAATTGTAGGCGCTACGTTTCGACAGCTTCTTGTGTCTTCTTCAGGCGAGTTCTACACTGACTGGAGGCACTCTGTTCGGTGTCCTCTTTTATATCGTGTACAGGCTCCGCCCCCCCACTCTTGTTGAGTATAAAAAATTTTAATAAATGAACTGATTTAGTTTCTAATTTATGTCTTCCTGTGACTGGTTAAGTTTAGGGCTGTTCCCCTCTATGGTTAAGGTTAGAGCCAGGAGCTAGGCTAGACTTTAGCTCTACTCTACTATGGCCACAATCTTGACAGTAGTCCAAGCGCGCATTTTGGCTGCTTGTTTCCTGCACAACATGAAGATCAATTGCGATTTGCATATTGTTTCCACGTTTACAAGATTGTTTACTAGAATTGAACAAATTTAGTTTCAAATGGGTTCTTCCCTGATGCTAATGCTAGTGCCTTGAGTTAAGGTCATGTGGTCCAGAGACTGGGCGAGGCACTAGCCAGTAAAGGTAATACAAAGTAGAGTTTCGCTTTTCAGCCCGAGCCCGAGCAGGCCCGACCTGAGTTCGGGCCGGGCTCGGGCCTCATTTGGCGCTCAGCTGTCGGGTTCGTTCCGGGCTCGGGCTTCTTTTTTTAAATATGTTTCTTTTTATTGTTATTATCATTATTTTTAAATGATTTTTATACATATATATATATATATTAATAACAATGTCCGTTGATTGACAACAAGTTATTAAAAATAGTTAATATATTAATGACACCGTAACCAGCGTGTCCTACAGCAGCAGCGAGCCGTGAACGCATCATCCCCGTGTCTCCTGCTGCTGTGGTCAACAGCGAACAGGAACAATAGTAGAAATGGATCAAGTGGAGACAAAACAAATTCAAAACTGGAGACTAAACTTGCAATTGGAAGGTGAGTGCGTACAACGGGAAAGCTGATGTGTCGGGTTCTGTCGGGCTCGGGCCTGTTATACAGCGTTCATTGGTCGGGCTTATACGGGCTCGGGCTTAACATTAGCGGGCTCGGGCTTCATTTTTCAGGCCAGAACGAAACTCTAATACAAAGTCACTGTCCCCCGAAGGGTACAGTAAAATTCACGGGCCCTCTCCCCGACTCTGGACCAAGAGGATGTTCCTGGACACTGGCAACCACCATGATGGCCGCCATCTTGTGTCCAGGGGGTTCAAAAAATTGCTCTATAGTAGAGTGTATGTGTAGAAAAATTGTAGGCGCTACGTTTCGACAGCTTCTTGTGTCTTCTTCAGGCGAGTTCTACACTGACTGGAGGCACTCTGTTCGGTGTCCTCTTTTATATGGTGTACAGGCTCCGCCCCCCCACTCTTGTTGAGTATAAAAAATTGTAATAAATTAACTGATTTAGTTTCTAATTTATGTCTTCCTGTGACTGGTTAAGTTTAGGGCTGTTCCCCTCTATGGTTAAGGTTAGGGCCAGGAGCTAGGCTAGACGTTAGCTCTACTCTACTATGGCCACAATCTTGACAGTAGTCCAAGTGCGCATTTTGGCTGGTTGTTTCCTGCACAACAAGAAAATCAATTGCAATTTGCATATTGTTTACAAGATTTTTTACTAGAATTGAACAAATTTAGTTTCAAATGGGTTCTTCCCTGATGCTAATGCTAGTGCCTTGAGTTAAGGTCATGGGGTCAGGGACTGGGCGAGGCACTGGCCAGTAAAGGTAATACAAAGTCACTGTACAGTGATGTGAGGCAGCACCTGCACCACACAGAGCTGGTCAGAAACGACAAGGAGTTGGAGCTTCTGACAAAGCTATCTCATGGACAGTAAGTGTTTTGGAAATGTCTTTTACAAATGCCATGGAACAAATCTACACTAGACATAGAACCTGGAGATTAGGAATCGATTTGATAGGCCATCATTAGATGCCTGAATCTTTTTAAACTCATTTGTCTGGATAACGTGTGTTTTTCTCATGTCTAAGTTTCAAGGAGAAATTAACATGCCCTGTAGAGGAATGTCAGTCAAAGGGCATAGAAAGGCTGGACAAGCACTTTCTACGCGTTCACAAGTTGGAGGTAAGAGGAGGTGTGGACTCGAGTCATGTGACTTGGACTCGAGTCAGACTCGAGTCATGATTTTGATGACTTTAGACTCGACTTGACCAAATATAAAAAGACTTGCAACTCGACTTGGACTTTAACATCAATGACCCTGACTTTCACTTGGACTTGCGCCAATTGACTTGTAAAGACTTGCATAACCCGGGCCATTTTTACCTTTCTCCGCATCTCTCTTTCTATCTATGCCGTCTCTGAAGAAACAAAGCCTCACGGTAGTTGTAGCGCTCGCGAGAGAGTTCCTAACATTATTTTGTTTGCCTACAAAAGTACGGTTTGTTCTACAAACCGTAATTGATATGCTTTCACTACAGGCGCCTTATACAATTGAATCGACGCAGTTGTCACACTCTGTGCCGTGTTTTAAAGAGGAACTGGTGAGTCAAACTAGCGCTAGCCTGCGCTGCTCTGTTGGCTCTTTCTTATATTTTTCTGTGTGGGCGCCGAGGCCTATTATTATGAGTATGTTTTTGCTGTGCTCCTCCTGCTAAAGTTTGCATACATTAGATAGTTGTTTTGATTATGTGCACTAAGCTAGATTAATATTTGCACTATTGTTTATGGTGCATTGATATGAGAATCAGTGCTTTGACTGATTGAATTAATTTATATGAGACATTTTATTATGTAATGATATATTGGTAATTACGAGATATTACTAATGCTGGTCCAGTTCATACAGGCCAGGTTCCTTCCCCTCCATTGGTCATTGGTCCCTTCAGTCCTTTGCCCCCCCCCCCCCTTTTTTTTGATGGCGAGCTGCCCCAGGTCCAAAGCCTAGACCCCTCATACTACCCCTATTCTACAGTAGGACATTTGGAACAATAACCACTACGGACATTAAACTGATTATATAGATACAGGTCCTAGCCCAATACTCATATTCATATATGCTGCACTTGCTACTTCCCATTAAAAACCCCAAAGATAAAAAGTATGTTGACACGGACTGCTCTGATTTTATGTGTGGTCTGTGCATGTGTAACTGAGCCTGCATCTGGCACAACATCCAATTAGATCACGTAGATAGTTTTGATTTACCAGCAGCCAACGACATGGAACAAACTGTTAGTCCATGGGTCAGAGACCAACGAGAATGCACCAGCAAAATGATTCCTAACATTATTTTGTTTGCCTACAAAAGTACGTGGAGACCAACAAGAAACAAATCGCGGTCAAAAAGACTCGAGAGGACTTGAAAGTCAAACCGTAGGACTTGGGACTGACTTGAGATTTGTTGGCCTTTGACTTGGACTCGACTCGGGACTTGCCTGTCTTGACTCGTGACTTGACTCGGGACTTGAGGGCAATGAATTGAGACTGATTTGTGACTTGCTAAACAATGACTTTGCCCCACCTCTGGAGGTAAGTACTCTATAAATAAAGGGCTCGATAAAGGTTGATTGATAAAACATAACTAGAAATGTATTTAGAGCCCATCGGTTAAAAATTATGTGTGCATAGCAAAGCGCAGGTACATTGTGGGGGAACTGGCCATCCTCCAGGCCACCAACCCCCAACCAGCCATGGTCTCCCACCTGTCCGAAGTGACCACTGGCGTGATCGAAGAGGCGATGCGTCACGAAAGGCTTCAGAGAAGTCGGTTGATCTTCATGAAATTGTTTTTTACTGTCATATACTATTCCCTGCTTTATGTTTAAAAGAATTGTTCATGGATGTTTACTCAAGTATCTGTCAATAATGCTAAGTAGATATATTTATGAATACACATTCCAAGATTGGAGAAGTGACAAAGAATGGACTGTTGGGTGATGTTGGACCTCTGTAATTCAGATGACTGTAGCCTCCTCAGATGTGTGGCCTGGAGAAGGGGCCTACATGGGAAAGCTAGCCCTAACCAAGTTACGGATTGATATTCTTCTGATTATTAAGATGTCTGGCGTGGAGAATCCGGCCTTTTTGTTGTCTGGCGCTGTTTCTGGACATCACTAAATTGATATATGATTTGTTACCAGGTCAAGGCCAGGAGGAGATGCCAGCCCTAAGCCCTGCTGGAGACCGTAAGTAACACATGGCGCCAGCGTAGCCTCCTGTCTGTTACATGTGGGAGGTGGTACTTTTTATACATTTTATTTGTAATGGCCTTTTCGTTTGACAACAAATAAAGATAAGTCACACACGGGGCCAGAGGGACTGTACTGTATTTGTTTCCAGGTGACACAGCCGCAGCTGCCACCCTCCCTTCCAGTCGTGCACCATGTGCACAATGCCAGAGGCTAAAGGAGGAACTGGCCATCACCAAGAAGTTTTTGGCTTGCCAAATTGAGGAGAACAAGAATTTAAAAAAAATTAATAGTGCAGAAATCCAAAAAGAGGTGAGGATGAACATTGTCCCATCAGGTCATTTAATGTTTTGGCAAGTTTCACCGGCAAGAACCATGTTACAACGAATAGTAGATTATGAATGTAGAATCTGAGGGAATGATTCGACGCTGGGTGTGGGTGTCACCTCGGTCGGGTACCCAGCAGAGTACCCCTAACCTCTGGATTAAAGGAGTAAAGAGGGAGGATAGAGCTGAGGGAGTGTAGAGGATGGGGTGGTCAAGAAGAGATGTAGTTTTGATGAGTTGAATTAACTTCCTGGTTAGCTCGGATGCTAAAGAAAAGTGGGAGTCGAAAGGTGAAACTCTATATAGTAAAGTTATTCATTTAGATATCTTCCCTTTCCCAGGCCGTCAAATACAAGAGAAGGGTAGTGTGCTCTCCCTCAAAAGCCCCTGCCTATGGTACATATCACATTCTCATTTAAATAACAGTTGCTCAAGTAGTTCTAGTAATTTCTCAACTTTTGTTTTTTCTTTTCAGCTCAACTCACAAACGCTTACCGGGGCTTTATAGATGGAAGCAATCCCTCTAGGAAGCACAAAGAGAATTCTAAGCAAAGATCCAGCCTCATCAATTCTTTCCTGGAGTTCATGGACTTCCCAAGTGTCCCCCAAATTAATCTTAAATTTTTTACCAAGTTTACAAGTTTACAATCTAAAGTCATTGTATTGTAATTACGCTATATCCTCCTGAGACCCGGCCCATTCACTCATGTCCTCTGTAGTGGACATTTTGTTCACCTGTATTTCTTTTGATTATTTGGAGTTATCCTAACAAGTCCTGTGGTACTCTGTAGAGGACATCCTGGGCTTTCCAGTGATGTGCCATGTGATTGGTTTGCATGCTGAGAACTACACTTTTTTTCTTTTTCAAAATGGCTGACATACCAACAACCACATTTTATGGAAAGATGAGCGGTAAGTAAAATAATCCCTATGTATTGCTATTTTTACTATGAACATTATATATATTTGTGTCCACTAACATGTAAATAACAATATGTATACATCTGAAAACAGTTGACTTATTTCTGTTTTGAAAGAATAGTCATTTAATGTATGTCAACTGTAGTGGACGCCAGGACTATTTGAATGTATTTGATGACTGCACATTGTTGTAGGAGCAAGGAGTGAAGCAGAGAGAATCCTTTACTAGATAATTCAGGGAGAATCAGATTTGGAGCTTTTAGATGAAGAAAAGGATGATGAGGAGTATTAGCCTAGGATAGGGGAAGGTGACGATGAAGGAGAGGAAGATGAGACTAACCCATTTGTTTTGGAAATAAATATGCCAACTATGTAACATGAGGATACCAGGCAAAAACAAATGCCTGTACACTCTGAACTACTGAAAACCCTTGCATGTGAAAAAACTTCACTGTTACTACTTTTTTTATTTGAATTTATGTCTGTTTTCTGTGTATCATAACAGATTCAGACCTGTGGTACCTGAGCTTCCTGCCTATCAAGATGACAGTGAATGTTGGAGTCCAAGTACTTTTCACAGTACATCATTGAGAGTGTTGGTAGAGCATTTCTGTGGGCCCGAAGGCCATGGGTTCGAGCCCACCATGAGACCTACTTCACGACTCCCACTGATGACTGCTGTCGTTGTGTCCTTGGGCCAGATACTTAATCCCACTTTGCCTGAAGCCCCCGCTGAAAGATCAAGGCTCCTGTGGACTCAGCACCTGCAGGAGGATCAGTGAGGGGCTGGTGCTCTGTGGACTGGGTGCAGCTCTGACTGCCACCTCCCCGACCCAAAATTGTATTAAGGGGAAGAAAATGGATGGATGGATGGATGGATCTTTGAGAATCTGGCACTTTTTACAAATCAAAGACAGCTACTAACTACAGGAGCGTCACTAAATACTACTGGCCAAGAAATCAAGATTGGCCCGTGGACCTGAGCTTGGACATGCCTGGCCTAGATGTCCCTCTGCATAACCAAAAGTAAAACATGCTTCCAGGATTATCACAGCTAAAAGAAGAAGAAAACCTGAAGTAGTTTTGTTCTATCTCTTATGGTGCTTTCACACCGCCAACGCTGGAACGCTGACGCCTCGCGCACCAGACACACATTCTCTAATTTTCAGACGCAGGGGTCTTCACACCATAAGTCCTGGCCAGCGGTGGTGACCGCCGGAAGTGGCAGAAGTAGCGGGCGAACTTTGATGCTAACGGAGTTAAGCTGCGACTTTTTATGTAAAGTTCTTCTCCAATAATGCCAGGGTTAGGGTCCAGAGACCTTCCAGAGATTTTATCAATCAGCAGTTTGTGTTCACGGAGGTGCGGCATACGTTAGTTTTTATTATTGAACGGTATTTCCGCATCGGCGAACATGCTCGAAGCAGTTTCATAAAGTCACGGGAGCATGAACACGCAAATGTTCACAAGCACACAGTCCCCCATTGTCAACCCTGGTTTATTCCTGGTTTGGTCCTGGTGTAGCTCCTGTTTTCGCAGTATGTTCAGCCGCTAATGTCCCCGTGACCACTTTGCGGCTCTCTGATTGGTCACTGCACGAGCGTCCCGAGGAAACGTTCAGCAATATTTATCTCCTGCGTGCGTCAATTTTCCGCTCTCCGCCTCTGCCGCGCCTTTGTGTGCAACTCTACTGAGCAGTCCGTGCGTGCGTCCCGAGAGACGCTCAAACACGTGTCACCATTGACCTGCATTGAAAGTCGACTAATGCAGCATTATAGTTCAATGTTGAGACAAAATACATGTTTTACATTACATTGTAACAGTGTTACTGAATTTTTTATTTTTTATTGTTCAAATTGTTCTGTGTTCTTGGGTGAATGTCACAGTAAAGATGTAATTTTCTAATAAAACACAGCGTTTAGAAATGCTTTGTTGTTACACGAATATTGTCCTGTTGTCCTCTACAGTGGACATGCTGTGAAATTTAAATAAAAAATAAATAAAAACAAATAAAAATGGTAAGTTGCTTTTTTAAGGCCAAATAGATGGGAAATCACACAAAAACAGAAATTGCAAGACACTTTTTTTCTTCGGTTCTCAGGAGGATATAGAACATACCTTAATATTTTTGGTCCTTTAAAGGTTCCTCAGGGACCTCCAAGAAAGAAGATACGCCCCGACATCACAGAAAATCTATCTTCAGGACGTGATGGGCTTTATCAAGTATATAATTGACACCAGACCACCAGGAGTAAAATTGTCACTGAACCAGATGAACGCAATAAAAGTGGAACTCACAGCCCGGCTGAGGGACGTGGGGAGGGAGGTGGTCCCACATGTTATGCGGGTCAGGCGCCGGAAATCAGGTAAGAGTCCCACCTTTTGGTTTAGTCTGGAAAGACCTCACTTAGAACTCTTTATCTTTCTATTTTAGTTCCAGCATCCGTTGGGCTGACAGAGCTGGTTTACTCCTGGTTTAGATTTAGTTCTCATTCTTACTTTCACCAGCTTTAGTCCTGATTTCTACTCTCACTGATGGACCTGGCGTGAACCCGGTTCACATTAGCTTCCTCCTTAATTAGACCTGCTTTAGTCATTGGGTCCGTACTGGTTTTAACCAGTAAAGGGACTCGTACTTGGAAACTGGGTTTTTAATGATGTCTTTGATCCTTAGGATGTACCCCCAATGCTGAGCACTACTTTGTGATGCAGATTTTATCTTGAGTTTTACTCTGAATTCTGGGAATGTTTTATTTATGCTTTAGTCTTTGTTTTGTCTTGGTTTAATCCTTGTTTAGTCCTGATTACTACATTCTCTCTTATGTAAAAGATTTTGGGGTTGGTTCAGATTTGACTTTATCCTGATTTACCTTTTTACTCCTGGTTTAGACCTGCATCAGTCCTAACTTAGTTCTGGTTCGGACCTGCTTCAGTCCCAGTTTACTTCTGGTTTAGTGCTGATACTTTTTGACATGTTTTAGGTGTGCTGTAGCCCTGCTTTAGACTTGGTCTAGTGCTGGTTTGGATTGATTTAGGTCTGGTTAAAACCTGTCTTTGTCCTTCTTCCTTCTATTATTGCTTTTAACAACAGTGAAAAAATGATTTTTTTTTATTTCAGACAGCCTAATACAGTCCTCCAAACATTCATGGTTCATTCACAACTCTCCTGCCCTGATTACAAAGGCGCTAGGTAAGGATCCATCCTCTTCATCTGCTTAATCAACCATTTGTACAGAATAACTGTTTATTTATATACATTTATTTATAGACCATCTGAAGAGTGACCCCAAATCCACAAGGTCCCTGCTTCGCTTTTTCGGCCTCCTGGGAGGCTACCTCATAGCGACCACTGGACACCGTAAGGGTGTCCTGGTGAATATGCTGGTCACAGAGGTCCAGGAGGCCAAAAAAGTGTCCCGAGGGCGCAGGTTGATAAGGGTAAGTCTTTGTCTACAATGAAAGAACACTACATGACATGGTCACCAACTGAGTGTTGTTAACAGGTGAAGCAACATAAAACGCAGCGCTACTTTGGTGAAGCGTCGATACCCTTGAGTGTTGACGAGTACAAGTGGCTGGAAACGTATAATGGCATCAGGGGAGAAGTAGAAGGGGGCTCAGCCCGCACCTTTTTCCACATCTCCAGTGGACAGCCATTGTTAAAGCTGCCCACGTATTTCCAAAATCAGTGGGAAAGGTGCGGGCTGGGCCCTGCACCCAACTTCAACATGCTGAGATCATCTGTGGCAACTTATGTAAGAATGTTTGTACTGTATCTATATAATCTGTACTTTGTAATACCTTTTTTCCTGATTTAGACAGGTTTAGATCTTTAAAATGTGTACTGTTGCTATTAATTGCATAACTGTTATTTCCCTTCATCAGTCAAAGAGGCAGCTCGGGAGGAAGTGCTATGAGAGGGTCGCCACATTCATGTGCCACGACCCCGTAACGGCCAAAAAGTTTTACCAAGGTTATTCTTAATGCAACTCAGCAAGAACCCTGGGGAGTCATGTATGAGTTTCTCATTTTACTGTTCTTTTTGCACAGCCTGTGATCCTGCAGAGGAAGCCTTTAATAGCAGGGCCTTGACTATAATGGCTGTCTCGTCCCATGCGGTAAAAAAAAAACAAAAAAAGATAGAAGCGTTAAAAAAGAGAGGCTCCTGAGACCACTCCTCGCCCAGGAACATCCCGGATGTAATCAGGGGGCGGCCTGATGTCACCCCGCCCCCTGATGTCACCCCCCCCCCTGATGTCACCCCGCCCTCTGATGTCACCCCGCCCCCTGATGTCACCCCGCCCCCTGATGTCACCCCGCCCCCTGATGTCACCCCGCCCCCTGATGTCACCCCGCCCCCTGATGTCACCCCGCCCCCTGATGTCACCCCGCCCCCTGATGTCACCCCGCCCTCTGATGTCACCCCGCCCCCTGATGTCCCCCGCCCTCTGATGTCACCCCGCCCCTGATGTCACCCCGCCCTCTGATGTCACCCCGCCCCCTGATGTCACCCCGCCCTCTGATGTCACCCCGCCCCTGATGTCACCCCCCCCCTGATGTCACCCCGCCCCTGATGTCACCCCGCCCTCTGATGTCACCCCGCCCTGATGTCACCCCGCCCTCTGATGTCACCCCGCCCCCTGATGTCACCCCCCCCTGATGTCACCCCGCCCTCTGATGTCACCCCGCCCTCTGATGTCACCCCGCCCTCTGATGTCACCCCGCCCTCTGATGTCACCCCGCCCCCTGATGTCACCCCGCCCCTGATGTCACCCCGCCCCTGATGTCACCCCGCCCTCTGATGTCCCCCCTTGATGTCACCCCGCCCTCTGATGTCACCCCGCCCTCTGATGTCACCCCGCCCCCTGATGTCACCCCGCCCCTGATGTCACCCCGCCCTCTGATGTCACCCCGCCTCTGATGTCACCCCGCCCTCTGATGTCACCCCGCCCCCTGATGTCACCCCCCCCCCTGATGTCACCCCGCCCCTGATGTCACCCCGCCCTCTGATGTCACCCCGCCCTCTGATGTCACCCCGCCCCCTGATGTCACCCCGCCCCCTGATGTCACCCCGCCCTCTGATGTCACCCCGCCCTCTGATGTCACCCCGCCCTCTGATGTCACCCCGCCCTCTGATGTCACCCCGCCCCCTGATGTCACCCCGCCCTCTGATGTCACCCCGCCCCCTGATGTCACCCCGCCCTCTGATGTCACCCCGCCCCTGATGTCACCCCGCCCTCTGATGTCACCCCGCCCTGATGTCACCCCCCTCGTCACCCGCCTGATGCACCCCGCCCTCTGATGTCACCCCGCCCTCTGATGTCACCCCGCCCTCTGATGTCACCCCGCCCCCTGATGTCACCCCGCCCTCTGATGTCACCCCGCCCCCTGATGACACCTCGCCCCCTGATGTCACCCCCCCCTGATGTCACCCCGCCCCCTGATGTCACCCCGCCCCCTGATGTCACCCCCCCTCTGATGTCACCCCCCCCTGATGTCACCCCCCCCCTGATGTCACCCCGCCCTCTGATGTCACCCCGCCCTCTGATGTCACCCCGCCCTCTGATGTCACCCCGCCCCCTGATGTCACCCCGCCCTTTGATGTCACCCCGCCCCCTGATGTCACCCCGCCCTCTGATGTCACCCCGCCCCCTGATGTCACCCCGCCCCCTGATGTCACCCCGCCCCCTGATGTCACCCCGCCCCCTGATGTCACCCCGCCCTCTGATGTCACCCCGCCCCCTGATGTCACCCCGCCCTCTGATGTCACCCCGCCCCCTGATGTCACCCCGCCCTCTGATGTCACCCCGCCCCCTGATGTCACCCCGCCCTCTGATGTCACCCCGCCCTCTGATGTCACCCCGCCCCCTGATGTCACCCCGCCCTCTGATGTCACCCCGCCTTCTGATGTCACCCCGCCTTCTGATGTCACCCCGCCCTCTGATGTCACCCCGCCCTCTGATGTCACCCCGCCCTCTGATGTCACCCCGCCCTCTGATGTCACCCCGCCCCCTGATGTCACCCCGCCCTCTGATGTCACCCCGCCCCCTGATGACACCTCGCCCCCTGATGTCACCCCCCCCCCTGATGTCACCCCGCCCCCTGATGTCACCCCGCCCCCTGATGTCACCCCGCCCTCTGATGTCACCCCCCCCCTGATGTCACCCCCCCCCTGATGTCACCCCGCCCCTCTGATGTCACCCCGCCCTCTGATGTCACCCCGCCCTCTGATGTCACCCCGCCCCCTGATGTCACCCCGCCCTCTGATGTCACCCCGCCCCCTGATGTCACCCCGCCCTCTGATGTCACCCCGCCCCCTGATGTCACCCCGCCCCCTGATGTCACCCCGCCCCCTGATGTCACCCCGCCCCCTGATGTCACCCCGCCCTCTGATGTCACCCCGCCCCCTGATGTCACCCCGCCCTCTGATGTCACCCCGCCCCCTGATGTCACCCCGCCCCCTGATGTCACCCCGCCCTCTGATGTCACCCTGCCCTCTGATGTCACCCCGCCCCCTGATGTCACCCCGCCCTCTGATGTCACCCCGCCCTCTGATGTCATCCCGCCCCCTGATGTCACCCCGCCCCCTGATGTCACCCCGCCCCCTGATGTCACCCCGCCCTCTGATGTCCCCCGCCCCCTGATGTCACCCCGCCCCCTGATGTCACCCCGCCCCCTGATGTCACCCCGCCCCCTGATGTCACCCCGCCCTCTGATGTCACCCCGCCCCCTGATGTCACCCCGCCCTCTGATGTCACCCCGCCCCCTGATGTCACCCCGCCCCCTGATGTCACCCCGCCCTCTGATGTCACCCTGCCCTCTGATGTCACCCCGCCCCCTGATGTCACCCCGCCCTCTGATGTCACCCCGCCCTCTGATGTCATCCCGCCCCCTGATGTCACCCCGCCCCCTGATGTCACCCCGCCTTCTGATGTCACCCCGCCTTCTGATGTCACCCCGCCTTCTGATGTCACCCCGCCCTCTGATGTCACCCCGCCCCCTGATGTCACCCCGCCCCCTGATGTCACCCCGCCCCCTGATGTCACCCCGCCCCCTGATGACACCTCGCCCCCTGATGACACCTCGCCCCCGAAGAAGCGGGTCCAAAAACTCCAGCCACAACCCGAATGGACTCCGTCCATGAAGAAATACTCCCAACAATCAAAAGAAGACCCCAGGGGAGTGTCTCTGCATTCAGGACTTGCTCCAAATGATAAGAATGTCCCCCTCCTCCTGCGTTCACTCCATCTGCTCCATCAGAGTTCTGCAGAGACCAAGAGCCGACCCGGGCAAGGGTTTCTCTTACTGACATCTGTCCTCGCTCTCTCCTTTTCTGAACTCTTCAGGTGGCTTCGATGGACGTCTCACTACCAGCCACCTCTGTTTTCAGGTGGCTCTCATGAGACCTTTGGAGATCTCGGCCTGGATGAGTCGTCCACTGGTCGGAGAAGGTCAAGTGGGGCAGGAACATAGAGCCTGAGCAGCGATGTGGTTGCAGAGTATCCGTGCTGTGGAGCTGTCCTTCAGCTCCACCAGCAGCAGACCTCACAAAGCCACAGTTTGTCCTTCAGCAACAGAGTTGACCGTCTTAGTCCCACATCTGCACTGAGAGTTTTGATGACACGGTCCAGGCGACGACTCCATCTGTGGACTTGTTTTTCAGGAAGGTTCTGAAGATGGGGCTGAGAGAAAGCTCTTGACTCCTGTGTGTCGACACCTGCACCTCACCAGGGAACACTCATAAAGGCACTTCCCGGTCACCAGCGCCCTGAGGACCTCATGGCCGACCACGATCAGGATCCATGAACATGTCCTCCATCTTGTGGCCTTCGGCCTCCTGCTCAGTGATGTCCTGAGCTCGAAGTTTAGTCCCAGAAGATCTGATAAGACACTTTATAATCTTCTGCCGATGACGATGGGCAGATCCCCGAGTCGTCTTGCTTCCACTCATGGCCCTTATCTTGGCGACCTCTGAGTGAAGTATACACTGGCCCGACTGAAATCTCTCTGAAATCTCTGGGTCTTGGCCCCGTCTGGCGTCTCCTCTCTCCTGTAACAACTCTCTATAAGAGACAGTCCTTGTTATTGCCTTCCTTGCCATAATGAAGATTAAACTAAATTGAGTAAATCTGCTGTCTGCCGGACTCTGCTAGACAATACCATCCATCCATCCATCTTCTTCCCCTTTAATCCATTTCTGGTCAGTGAATCTATCTATGAAACGTTACCATGGAAACGGTCATTCCGTTTCATGGTAACGGTATTCTACTGGAATGATCCAGGTGGAAACTCGTTGCAGTTGTGTTACGTATGGAAAACCCTCTGTTTGGAAGTTGTTTCTATAATGAATATAGTGGTGGGAAAAAAGACGATTCTGTACAGTATCGCGATATTCTGCGCAGACAAATTAAATGAATACAGTGGAGCAAAGTATTGACTATTTAATTTGAATGCTGTTTTACTTCAGGTTTGAGGTGAGGAGAGAGGGGAGGGAGAGGAAGGGAGAGAGACCTCACTCATTCACCTTTATCAGTTTCTGACATAAACCAGTGTCCTAGCATGCTCCTAACATTGGTCAAAATAAAGAGTCCAGTGTGTGAGGGTCAGAGCGTTACTTCCAGTTCCTCTGGGGGTGACCTCGCAGAGAGGGCAAGGGGGCAGACAGGCAGAGATGACAGACCGGACAGAGAGGGCGTACATGGCAGACCCAGTACGCATGAACGCCCTCTGGTACAATTCTGCATTAAGAGGGCCTTGTACGGAGGCATAGTCCACCCACGCCCACCTTGTCTGTTGCAGCAGCCTGAGGACACACCATAGACGTACATATTAACGGATGTAGTCACGCCCATCGCGTCCTTCAACTATTGCTCCACCACTTTCGCCGTCCATGGGCTCTACGTCCATGATGATACTACAGCCTCAGTCCTGATCTACACCTCATTCCTGGTCTACAGCCTCATCGCTGATCTACAGCTTAGGAAAAAGAAGAAAAAAAAAAAAAGAAAACAGTCCGGATCTACAGCCTCAGTCCTGGGTCTACATCCTCGTCCCTGGATCTACAGCCTCAGTCCTGGATCTACAGCCCAGTCCTGGGTCTACAGGCCCTCAGTCCTGGAACTACAGCCTCAGTCCTGGACTACCAGCCTCAGTCCTGGGTCTACAGCCTCAGTCCTGTCTACAGCCTCAGTCCTGGATCTACAGCCTCAGTCCTGGATCTACAGCTCAGTACTGATCTACGCCTCAGAACCATTTTATAGTTGTAGCCAGAACCCAACGTAAAACGTAATGGGAAAAAACCTTTAGTTTCACTTATTACAAACAAAATACTGACTTTGGTTTAGAAGTAGGATTGTCACGGGTCCAATGCCGCAACTTGTGGACATAAGGGGCAGATAGAATCTGTTACTACAAGATCCCTCGAGTTCTTTTTCCTTTGAGCTAGTTCAAAGATACCTCCTTCGACGTTTTTATGAACGTTTATGGCATATTTGGAGCCTCCAGGTATAGGTGGTTGAGGGGGAGTGGGCTTCTCCCGGTGACTATGGTTTTGTGTACTCTGTAATGATGTGGAGGGTTAGGGTTAGGGGTTAGGTTTGTGTATTTGTTCACGTCTCCACTTGTGGAGACTGGAGGAGACGGGCCCTAGTCTCTCCGTCCGGGTTTGGCGTGTAGCTGGCGCTCCAGGTATAGTGGTGAGGGGAGTGGGCCTCTTCCCGGTGACTATGGTGTGGTGTACGTCTGTAATGATGTGGACGTCCCCCTCTCCTCTGCTGGGACTCTAAGTCACTCATTGGGCCGTCTACGGGTGGCCGCGTTCCCATGGGGAAACCCTTTCCTCTCTCTTCCCATACTTCGTCCTGATGGCTATTGACCCTCCGCAGACTGTGGCCCCTCCTACGAACGTGGGCAATCCTCGTTGGAGTGGCCACTGTGGACTGCTGCGGGTGTATGGTGAGTAGGGAGTCGAGTATTCTGGCATTTTTTGTTGTATTTTTTTGTATATTTATAAAAGACTTTATTAATTTTTTAAATCGTTTTAAAACAGAGCTTATTAAAAGAGTTTAAAAGGTTAAAACTTCCAGATTGCCTCCTTTATGTTATGGGAGGCAAAAGAAAAGACTTAAGAGGTCTAGAACATTTTAAAATGCGCAGGTTCTCATCATTAATACATAAGGACGTTAAAAAGAGCTATAACTAAAAGATAAAAACACACGTTTCGACCGTGACTGGGTCTTCCATCAGGTTGTAAAATAAAATGATAGCACGTTTGTGTAAGAGAGCTGTTCACGGTCAGGGGTCAAGAATGTGCACTGTCAGGAAGTATGGGGTTGGAAAAGTGAGTGTAGGCTGTTCAGACTGAACCAGAAGTTTAGGTCATTAAATAAAATGGGTTTAAGTTTAGGTGGTTAGATAAAAATGGGTTTAAGTTTAGTAAGGGGTCAGGATAGGGTTAGATTAGTGGAGTGGTAGGTCCAGGTAAGTAATGTATGGTTAATTTTTGATTAATTTGCAGTCGTTTCCTCATAATCCAGGTAAGTGGGTTAGGTTTGTCCAGGTAGGTCCTTAAAAAAATGGGTTAAGTTTTAGGTCAAAAAATGAATGGGTTGAGTTTTAGGGGGGGTTGTTAGATAAATGGTTATGTTTAGGGTTAGTTTTGTGATATGTCAATGGTGAAGCCAATGTGTGATAGCAATGGTGATGCTAAATGCTAAGCAAATTTTAATGTTAAAGCTAATGTTAAGGTGATGTCAAATGCTAATGCTAATGCCCTAATGCTAATGCTAATATAAAGCTAATGGTGATTCATTGTGATGCCAATGGTGATGATGCTAACTCGCTAATGGCAACTTTAATGGGTTTTTGGCTACCTGCCAACCCAAACCATTGTAGAGTGGGCACTGCTCTACCACTACTTACTTTTTTTTTCACACACTCACACAAAGCGGTGTCTTCGACACCAGCTGGACACAGCTCAATGAAGTGCAAGATCTTATTCCCAAGATTTTTGCGCAAAGTTAGAGCTAGAGCTCAACCATTGGTGGGACGGTTCATAGCCAGTGTCGCTGGATAGCGGGAAAAATAAGGGGCCAGTTCTAATTCCCCCACATTGCGCAAAGTTGCTGCTAAGAGCTCTAGAATATGGACAGGTCATACCTGTGTCGGTGCGATTTCCTTGGAAAATACTAGGGTAACTTTGAATCTTTTTTAAACTGCCTACAAATCGGTGAATGAATATGAATTTTGCTGACCTTTCTGCAGCTCATATATGGTGACCTCTCCATGAAGGGCTTTCCAACGATACCTCTATCATCGCTCTAACGACCTCGTTTGGCCCGAGGGTTATAACCACTTAAACGATGTGACGGTTTCCAAACGGATTTTCGCCCCCTAGCTCCGCGTGAACATGCAGGGACAAAAGCCGTACACCGTTGCGTTCGGCTGGCTCGAGCCGGTCCGTAGAGGTCTAGATTTGTGCCTGTGCGACCTTCGGAACAGATTATGGCCTTTGATCGCCTAGCTTTTTTAGGGTAGGGTAAGGATTCTACGGTCCTGAACTGTCTTAGCTTCTGTCCAAAAACGGTCACTTAGACTTCCAAAGGGGATAGACGCCTGAAAATTTTGGATATTTGGTAGAGGGCCACGAGACGAGTCCAACGGTTTAGGGTAGACTTGCCGGGGGCCTTACGGTTTCTCGGTGGGCAGGCCTAAAGCCGTGAAATTTTTCACGCTAATTAAGCTCGTCACGGCTTCCAAATTTAATGGAACGAGTCGCAAATTCGTCACACCCCAATTCAACCCGTCCGACCCGAGACTCTAAAGTTCAACCCGCTCGGACACCGTTTATGGCTACTATTGCTTGCTATTGGTACGGTTTGAGTGGGCGGCCTACAGTCTCTCCGCTGGATCTATACGGGTCTGCACTGGTCTCTCCCATGGATCTATACGGGTCTGCACTGGTCTCTCCCATGGATCTAGACGGGTCTGCACTGGTCTCTCCCATGGATCTAGACGGGTCTGCACTGGTCTCTCCCATGGATCTATACGGGTCTGCACTGGTCTCTCCCATGGATCTATACGGGTCTGCACTGGTCTCTCCCATGGATCTATACGGGTCTGCACTGGTCTCTCCCATGGATCTATACGGGTCTGCACTGGTCTCTCCCATGGATCTATACGGTCTGCACTGGTCTCTCCCATGGATCTATACGGGTCTGCACTGGTCTCTCCCATGGATCTATACGGGTCTGCACTGGTCTCTCCCATGGATCTATACGGGTCTGCACTGGTCTCTCCCATGGATCTATACGGGTCTGCACTGGTCTCTCCCATGGATCTATACGGTCTGCACTGGTCTCTCCCATGGATCTATACGGGTCTGCACTGGTCTCTCCCATGGATCTATACGGGTCTGCACTGGTCTCTCCCATGGATCTATACGGGTCTGCACTGGTCTCTCCCATGGATCTATACGGGTCTGCACTGGTCTCTCCCATGGATCTATACGGGTCTGCACTGGTCCTCTCCCATGGATCTATACGGGTCTGCACTGGTCTCTCCCATGGATCTATACGGGTCTGCACTGGTCTCTCCCATGGATCTATACGGGTCTGCACTGGTCTCTCCCATGGATCTATACGGTCTGCACTGGTCTCTCCCATGGATCTATACGGGTCTGCACTGGTCTCTCCCATGGATCTATACGGGTCTGCACTGGTCTCTCCCATGGATCTATACGGGTCTGCACTGGTCTCTCCCATGGATCTATACGGGTCTGCACTGGTCTCTCCCATGGATCTATACGGGTCTGCACTGGTCTCTCCCATGGATCTATACGGGTCTGCACTGGTCTCTCCATGGATCTATACGGGTCTGCACTGGTCTCTCCCATGGATCTATACGGGTCTGCACTGGTCTCTCCCATGGATCTATACGGGTCTGCACTGGTCTCTCCCATGGATCTATACGGGTCTGCACTGGTCTCTCCCATGGATCTATACGGGTCTGCACTGGTCTCTCCCCATGGATCTATACGGGTCTGCACTGGTCTCTCCCATGGATCTATACGGGTCTGCACTGGTCTCTCCCATGGATCTATACGGGTCTGCACTGGTCTCTCCCATGGATCTATACGGGTCTGCACTGGTCTCTCCCATGGATCTATACGGGTCTGCACTGGTCTCTCCCATGGATCTATACGGGTCTGCACTGGTCTCTCCCATGGATCTATACGGGTCTGCACTGGTCTCTCCCATGGATCTATACGGGTCTGCACTGGTCTCTCCCATGGATCTATACGGGTCTGCACTGGTCTCTCCCATGGATCTATACGGGTCTGCACTGGTCTCTCCCATGGATCTATACGGGTCTGCACTGGTCTCTCCCATGGATCTATACGGGTCTGCACTGGTCTCTCCCATGGATCTATACGGGTCTGCACTGGTCTCTCCCATGGATCTATACGGGTCTGCACTGGTCTCTCCCATGGATCTATACGGGTCTGCACTGGTCTCTCCCATGGATCTATACGGGTCTGCACTGGTCTCTCCCATGGATCTATACGGGTCTGCACTGGTCTCTCCCATGGATCTATACGGGTCTGCACTGGTCTCTCCCATGGATCTATACGGGTCTGCACTGGTCTCTCCATGGATCTATACGGGTCTGCACTGGTCTCTCCCATGGATCTATACGGGTCTGCACTGGTCTCTCCCATGGATCTATACGGGTCTGCACTGGTCTCTCCCATGGATCTATACGGGTCTGCACTGGTCTCTCCCATGGATCTATACGGGTCTGCACTGGTCTCTCCCATGGATCTATACGGGTCTGCACTGGTCTCTCCCATGGATCTATACGGGTCTGCACTGGTCTCTCCATGGATCTATACGGGTCTGCACTGGTCTCTCCCATGGATCTATACGGGTCTGCACTGGTCTCTCCCATGGATCTATACGGGTCTGCACTGGTCTCTCCCATGGATCTATACGGGTCTGCACTGGTCTCTCCCATGGATCTATACGGGTCTGCACTGGTCTCTCCCATGGATCTAGACGGGTCTGCACTGGTCTCTCCCATGGATCTATACGGGTCTGCACTGGTCTCTCCTATGGATCTATACTGGTCTGCACTGGTCTCTCCCATGGATCTATACGGGTCTGCACTGGTCTCTCCCATGGATCTATACGGGTCTGCACTGGTCTCTCCTATGGATCTATACGGGTCTGCACTGGTCTCTCCTATGGATCTATACGGGTCTGCACTGGTCTCTCCCATGGATCTATACGGGTCTGCACCTGGTCTCTCCTATGGATCTATACGGGTCTGCACTGGTCTCTCCCATATACGATACGGGTCTGCACTGGTCTCTCCCATGGATCTATACTGGTCTGCACTGGTCTCTCCCTGGTCTCTCCCATGGATCTATACGGGTCTGCACTGGTCTCTCCCTATGGATCTATACGGTCTGCACTGGTCCCATGGATCTATACGGGTCTGCACTGGTCTCTCCCATGGATCTATACGGGTCTGCACTGGTCTCTCCCATGGATCTATACGGGTCTGCACTGGTCTCTCCCATGGATCTATACTGGTCTGCACTGGTCTCTCACATGGATCTATACGGGTCTGCACTGGTCTCTCCTATGGATCTATACGGGTCTGCACTGGTCTCTCCCATGGATCTATACGGGTCTGCACTGGTCTCTCCCATGGATCTATACGGGTCTGCACTGGTCTCTCCCATGGATCTAGACGGGTCTGCACTGGTCTCTCCCATGGATCTATACGGGTC